ATAATGTGGAGACAATTACGGTAACCAGCTTAGTCTGACTTGCCAGGTGGCCATAATCCAGGACATGTGCTAAGGTTGGTGGCTAAACATGGGGTCTGTTGTGGCTGACCAAGGATTGGACTGTTGTGACAAACTAGAGAGTGGGCTGTCGGTTAGCCACCAGGTGTCCTGGACCAGATCATGCACAAAAGCTGGCCGCCACGTGTATTTATATTTGAATTACAAAATGTTGTACTTGGGGTCCTGGCCTAAACCCTTGGTGGGCATCCATGGTAGCATACATGTAAGTGTAGGCGACTTGAATAAAATTGGGCCATGGTCCTTGACCATTTGTCCCTTGTTGTACGTGTGTATAGTATATATTCTTCTGTTGGGTGCGCACAAAGTAGGCTTAACTTGACCCTTGGCGATCTTACTCAGAGTCGAGGTCGCTCAGTTAGCTAAGTGATGTCACCTTCCACTTTTAATGCCAACTGATTTGCCCAATCTACGCTCCACACTCGTTGAGTAACCAATTCATCTTGGATTTGTATCCGCCGCTTATTAGCGCTATTGAGCCAAGAGCAGCCCTCCATCTCCAGTAAATCAGTTTGCATGGACAACTCAAAACATTTCTCTATATACGCCGTGACACTCCGTCATGTTTTGGCATGATTCAATGGAAGGAAATTTTCCTTTAATTGAATTTTCTTCCTTTTTCGAAGTACGGATTTTGGACTTACATTGCTTATCATGCATTATTTGAAATCGATTCCACCATACAAGTCATGTTCCTTCAACTTTTCATTCGTGAACTTGATTTCTCGTTCCTTCCACCCAAAGAACTTCTCCAAGCTCATGATCCAATCAAGAAATTCTTCTAGATCCTTTCGTCACGAGAAATCAGCAAACATCTTGCGTATCCCATGATCTCCTTTCTAAACGCCCTGACGAATTCCTCCTCCAATCCTATTACCAGGAACATCTTTACCCTGCTTGATTGTGGAAATGATTGGTGTCATGGGACGATGTATCTTGTCCCGAATCAACATCTAGTTTTTGAACGGGTTGATCTGATGGTTCTTGATGCAAGGCATGAAGTTCTCATGTTAGTTGATGAACTTATCTCTACAGTTCTTGGATCATGTCAATCTCGACTTGATTGTGCCTTCCTCACTACCACATTTCCTAGCTACCAAGGTGGATAAGCAAACCAACTCTATACTCCTTTGGCGCAGCAGAAGTTGTAAAAGAAAAGAGTATAGGGAGAAAAGAGGAAATTCAGTGATAAACACCTAAACCAAAAATATACCATAGGCTTGAAACAAGTGAGAACCAACAACTACAGACGTGTTCTTCAAAGAAAGCACATTTTTCCTTGTTCATTAAAATGTCTAAATTCGGCCCTCATGTGAAGGGCCTCATATCATACCACAAAAATAAAGAACAAAAAGGCAAGAGAGCTAACCCCCATTCCTGAATTTGTTAGAATATCCTACCATGATTCCAGTCCCAAAAGGAATCTCAAACCTATCCTAATTCTCACTTTTCCTTGGCGGCCTAGTATGTGCAACCCTCATAAACCCCACAATTCTAGGACTTTCACGTAAATCCCATGTAGAAAAGTAATATAGAAGCTAAGTAAATGATGACATTGCCCCTAAACAGTCAAATAATATCATTAATGCCCTAATTAGTCCCAAAAGTTTTCATTATTTTCATGTCTATGTGTTACTTTAAGATCTAAGGTAGCAAAGTGATGAAACTTACCTAACAATAACCTTTTTAGACAATTGAAAGACCTTTGAAATGCACTTTGAAGCACCCAAATCTGATATATTTTTGAAAAGTTATGATCCTTGGACGACGGCTGGATCACATGCCCTTTTTAATCTCCCATCTGTTCCTCTCATAATCCTACTAAATAAAAGGAACTTTAAACATACTAAAATAAATTGCATTGTAGAAAAAAGAAAGAGACCTAATTTCTGAGCCAAAAAACCCATAAAATATCCCAAAAGTAAACACCCCAAAAGTATAAGTTGAGCTCTCTTGATTCCGATAAATCTAGGACCCATTTTTGGTCCTTGCGATGTCTGCATCAAGGTCGATCTTGAATAGGAATCTATATTTGTGCCATCTACTAGAGGTTGAGGAGATGCTTGACACAAACAACCAAGAGTTGATGAATGAGTGTCAAGGAAAAAGAATTTATGTTTGAAAGCTGCTTCTCATTGATCCACTAGCTAAAGAACAACCATGCCCCTTTTTTTTGGGTAGTTCAGTGGGCAAGCAGTCCCCTACCTTTACATGCCTACGGTGCATTTCGTTTCGCATTTTGATATTATGTTGTATCCAACCTTCACAATTATATTTAGCTACATACCTCAGTCTTCATATCCAGCGTTTCGAAACAGGACTCCCTGTGGATCGGCCCTACATTATACAGATCCGGATCAACACTACTGGCAATCTAGCCAAAAAATAAAAGAAAGGGAGAAAAAAAGAGAAAAGTTGCATAAATCTATATTGCCTATGTTTATTTGATGATTTAGATTGTAATCCCCAAAACAAAAGGAAAAAGTAAACATGGGGAAAGATGGGAGTGTATAGAGATTACGGCCTGTTTTCGATTCTGAAGAGAGCTGGCCCAGTAACCCTTTCAATCCGGTCCAGTTTGGTCATTCCACATTTGGATTGGCAATTTCTGAAACCTTGTTCATAAAGTTAGGAGCTAAGATAAGCATGTCCACTTCTTTTTCCTATCCATGGAGTTAATGTAATTTCTACAACTTATGGTCTTTAACCTCCATAAAAATGTCTACAATAGCTATTATTCTTAAATAAAATGCATTTTATTTTAAGATTGTTTTGTCCCAAACTCTCCATGTCTAATTGTTTTTCCCCAAATTTCCCCCCCTTTTTTCCCCCTAATTGAATACGCAATTCATCCTTGTGGAGGCTAGCCCCCAATTGGGTTTCTTGAAACCTGTATTAAAACCATAATGCAATTTGCAAATGCTAGAACACAATGCGAGAAAATGAGATTGTATGAATCTAAAAGCTTAATTTTTATAATCCATATTCCATTTTTTAAGTGAAATTAAATTTCTGTGGAATTGAAAGGAGTTGTTTGGCAGCTTTGGCTTATTTGCCCAATTTGCGATACCGTGTATTTCTTGATATAAAAGCACGAAAAAGAAGGGTTTCAGACAAGTATTATTTGCTGAACAACGATACATAACTTGGCTGGACATGGATGCAACCGTGGCACATGCAACGATCAATTGTTAGATGCTCCATATCAAAAGGCAAATTAAGAGGATTCTTAAAGTTGAAAAATACTTTTAAATAAAGAAAAGCAGAACTTGGTTTTACAACAGATTGATCAGTTTTGCAGGGCATATTGTAATTCTTAGTTTCTATCATTTTTTAGCATTTTTTTGTCAGCAAAAGAAAAAAAGTCAAATGGGTAGATTAGATAGTTTGTTAGTTTTAGGCAATAACCACGAAGATTCTTGGATGATCTTTGTCTGATCAAAACATTTAACTGTTTGGATCAAATTATTTGTTTATTAGTGAGTTAGAGCAATTTGCAAAGTGTTTCAAATCAAACTGACCACCTAATTCATGGGGAATAATTGGAAAGACCAAAATACCCCTGGCTGCCTTTCCCCATAGTAATGACTGGGGAAATAGATCTTTCACAGCGGTTATGCTACCTAACCCAACTATCCTGTACTTTTAATTTTGTGATTGTGATGTGCCATCCTTTCCTACGACTTGTCAGTAGCTACGATACATGAATTGTGAATTTGACCTTTATAATTACCCCTATTTCGGATTGAAAATTGATGAAATTGATCAAAGAGATGAAACTCCGCACCTGCGAGTTTTTGTCATGGTTAACTGAAACCAAGATTTCTTAGTGTTTCCTCAATTGTTTTCTGCGAGATCTGTTTCTATGTGATTGTTAGCCAACACCCTATTGGTTAGGTAGATCAATCTTGGGCTCTGCAATTCCTAGAAGGCTCTCAACTGTGCACATCTAAATTTTTATTTCACAAGTGTTTCTTGGCCTAGTTTATCCGGGAAATATATTCACCCCTACAAATTGTATCATAGAGAGATTCTGTGTTGAGGGCATCTAATACTTTGAAGAGAGTGGGAGCCTCCCTTGTTGAAGCACAGCGAAAGGGATTCTGAAATTAAGCTTTTACCCCGCTTTGAGTTTCCTGTTTTGAAGGATAGAGGCAACTCTTGCTATCACTTGTTAAATGACTTTAGCTATGTGCAGTGATTGCCTCTTGAGTGATTTCCACTCAGTTGAGGTTCCATCTCTACACCCTCTAGGTTGAGTAGTTGCCAAGGTTTATGAACTCTGTTTGACACTGGTTAAGTATTGAACCGCAAATATTTCACTGTGAAATTGCTTGTCAGTCTGCCGGAAGTTCCAGAGCATCATTTCTAAGGACTCAGAAAGGTTTCATGTTGTTTCTGAAGCTAAAGGATTGAAGGCGATCATTTGCCGTGGTGAACTGAGCTTTCTCAGTTCAAGCTGAAATTGCAGATTTTGCACTTGCTTGGCTAACCTTTGACTGGAAGTTCATTCCTAGTCAATGAGAAACTCAGTTTTCTGTGATCTGTCTCAAAATTTGTGGAAGTCGAGATCTCACCAATGCTAAACTGGTGAAGGCTATCATTCACTGCAGTTAAAGCAGTGACGGCAAAGTCTCACTGTGATTAAGCAATATCATGTGTTTGACTGTCTCGATGATTAATTTGTTAGCTTGTTATAAAGGCTATAGAAAACCTTGAAGCCACTGGAGCTTTTTGACCAAAAAGTCCATGTGGCTTGTCAAAAGGAACTATGTGAAATTTTGAAATTATTAGGGATAATACCCCTGCACTGAATCAGAGCATCATCCGCACTAATCTTGTAAATCTCCTTTCTTTTAACATCCAATTAGACTTTTTTAAAAGCTCATATTCTCATCTGGTTATTTTGATGTTCTTTGCAGGTGGATGTATTAAAGCAAGGTATACCAGACCCATCCTTGGTTTCTCTTGGTCCTAATCTGGCACCGTATAAGGACAGAGATGCATTGCTGGATAACTTGGGGGACTTTATGGCTGACCCTGTGTTTGTACACTCAAAGTGTGTGGCCCTCCTTTCCCTAAGATGGTTTCATGCACTTTATTTATTAAGTGGCTTTCCTTCCCCTAAGAACCTTGTTTCTTTTTTCTTAATATATATGTTGTGCCCAAATTTCACAGTCGACATTATGAGCTTATACCACACTCACACTCTCACTCATCTTACTTTAAAAGGAAAAAAGAAAGGAAAGAAAAAAACGAAAAAAGAAAACAAGGTTCTTCATGAATTACTTATCCAGTGTATTCCTCTCCAGCCTTCTTTATACAGTTGAACTCTCTTCCAAGAGAAATAGCCTTAGAATCTTCAGGACTACTCAACCATATATCCTGATCTACAGGTTGCAAGACCGGGAGTTCGCAGCCAGTAGCGTTATGTGGTTAAGAAAGACAATGTCCCTATATTTTCAGTCCTCTTCATTTTGGAAACGTAGGTCCGACCAGATGGAAATCTATGGAGAATCAAAACATGGTGCCAAGCCTGTAGTGCTTGACAACCAGAATGGATCTCTTGAGAGAGGGAGTAATGAGATAGAATCTGCTGATTCAGGTATACTGGGTACACATTTCTTTGTTCTTCCGTTGAAGATTCAGGATGACTCACAAAAAGCTCAGCTCGAGAGTTATGGTTCCATGCTTGCTCAGCTCCGTGATCAGGTAAAATATGACTTAGCCTTTGAACTAAATTTCTGAATTCAAATTGTTAAAGATGTTATTTTTATTAACTTCTCTAGTACTAAATTTTGATGGAAGGTCCTCTTTTGCACAACACGAAAACAAACAAAATTTAGAATGAAAGAGATGGAGATATTAAAGGGATGACTCGAGGGACATTGGGCCTCCTTGATGTTGAATGATACTTTAGGACCATTGTGTCATGATGTATTTATATTCTCCTGAATTTAATTTGGTTACCATAAATTGACACTGTTGACCTTGTGCTGAGGAGGGATCTAATGGCGAGAGAGAGAGAGAGAGTCTTTAAGTTGTGCACTAGACTTTTGTACCTAGGGTACTCGTGAGAGAGAGAGAGAGAGAGAGAGAGAGAGAGAGAGTATTACTTAAGTGGTTGGGTGTACGTAGTTACGTTTACGTAACCGTAGGTACGTAGGTAAAGTGTCGTAGTTAATTAACTACTAC